CGGATCGATATTGCACTTTCTCCATTGTATCAAGAAAGACAAAACACGTCTGATGCAACTGGCTGCCAAATAAAAACTAACCTATGAATCAGTCTGAAATTTAGTATGGGGTCGTTTGACAGATGGCAGTACACGATGATAATGCCAACTTCCCTCAGCAACGCCACCTGTCTTCAAACATGGGTACTTATTGATCGACCTTCGTAGAGTCCATTAATAACATTTGGGGATGTGTATATACTGGTAATCATATCCGTTACAAGTTACACATACATATAATTTTCCTAACAAATTAAGTTAACAAAAGTTGCATATCTTTATAAGATCTTTTACCATAAAAATCAAAACTACCGTGCTACTCAGAAAGCAGTATAATCCAAGATCATACTGTCCAATGTTTATAATTTGGTGAATTTTAATTGCATGACTCTCCAAACAAGAGTACTGGAAAGACTTTATAAATTTAATGAAACACTATTTTTCTGGACTGAATAATCTATATAACAGGAGGATGGAGAAACTGCATAATGAAAACTTCATAAATTGTATTCCTTTCCAAATATTATAAGAATAGAGAATGAGATGGGCTGGTCACAGAGCATACATGGTAGAAGAGTGCATATAGTGTTTTGGTGGAAAAACTCAAAGGAAAGCAATTATCACGAAGGCCTAGACATAGTTGGGATGATAATATTAAAAGGAATTTTAGAGAAACAGGATTGGTAGGTGTGGTCTAGATTCATCTGGCTCAGAAGAGCCCAGTGTTGTACTCTTATGAACACAGTAATGAACTATCAGTCTCCATAAAATTCCGGGAATTTTCTGTGTGGCTGAGCATCTGTAAGATTCTCAAGTATTCAGCTCCAGGGAGTTAGTTACAAATTATATCAAGCCAGGCTTGTGATAACAGAGCAATCATTAAGCAGTCAGAAATACTTACATGACAGCAACACTAAACAGAACTTCTTGACATATACAGAACTAAAGAACACCCTGAATTAAACTGTACTTAATGATCATACACATGAACAAGAAGGACAGGCTGCAGTTCTAACATATAAGGGGCAGTCAAATGAAAACGGGTCACCACGCATAACTCACATGGTGCACAATTTGGTAACACTGGAATTTGCTTACGTTATGAACATCTGGTGGGGACTTGGGAAAGCACAGTAATGTGTTCTTGCACACTAGTCGTTTGTTTATTGTGCTGAAAGTAAGGTTAGCGCTGTGTGTGGTCGTCCAACATCAGTAATGGAGGCAGGTAAAGAAGAACAGGAAAGTGTAATGTGGTTTTTGACTGCTGAAGGAGTAGGACGACGAGAAATTTGTCGCATGTCTGTTGTTTATGGCAAACACAGCATGTCACATTCGCGTGTGCTGGCGTGGCATAAGAGATTCCAAGAGGGACGTGTTTCACTGTAAGATGATGCTCACCCAGGACAGGTTCATCACGTCATCACTTCTGATGTCATTGCTGCGTTGGATGGTCATATCTGGGCAAACCGATGGATTGCTGTGGTAGAAATTAGTCTTTCGATGGGAATAAGTCACGGTTCCGTACACGCCATTGTGACAAAACATCTGCTGTAGTGCAAAATCTGTGCGCAGTGGGATCCACATCAACTCACAGAGGAACAGAAGATTCAGAGAATGGCTGCATCACTGGGTCACTTGCAACGATACCACGAGGAAGAGTATGCTTTTCTGTCCTATATTACCACTGGGGATGAAACTTGGTGGCATGGTACCACCATTTTGAATCTGAGAGCAAACAGCAGAGCCAACAGTGGAAACATGTGAATTCTCCCCCCCCCAAAGAAATCTGAAGTCGTACACACAAGTTCTGGTAAAGTGATGATGATGATCTTCTTTGACTGCAAGGGCCCTCTGCTTGTCGAATTTCTCGAGCATGGGGCTACAATCAGTGCACAGCGCTATGAAGACACTTTGCAGATACTAAGATGCGCCATAAAGTCAAAACGCCCTGGATTGCTATCGAATGGCATTATCCTTCTTATTGTCGCGTATCGGACTTATATCGCGACAATTAACTTCACGATGTATTTGATGTAGCGAATTTTATTTCACATCCGCTCTCACAATCACCCAAATTACAGATTTACGATTACTGCTATCTGCAGTATCACAATTAGTACACTCCAAATGCCACAATACAACTGACTGGTTGCTGGCTAACTCGGAACTAACTCCGACCGGTAACACTATGGGGACCTCCTCTTGTTGTGCCGCCACAGGTTTCGTGTCCACTGAGGCCGGCTTTCCGTCTCGTAGACGTGCCTCTATCTCTTGGCAGGCCATCATCTCATTGCAGTTGGCATTCACCCTTTTGACGGTGAGTGCGTAGTGTGGGGGCCTTAACGCATATGCCGGCGTTCGCCCATCTCCGCCGGCCGTTGCTCGTTTCCCGACGGTTTGTCCTTTCTCCGGCTTGTTTCCCTGTTGGTTCTGGGTCGTCATTCTGATTTCCCCGGCGATTCCCGTTTGTATCTGCGTGGCCTATCTTCATGTTCTCGGCGCATTTCATTATTAGCCTTCCTTTCGTAGGAGCAGTTATTCGCGAAGTGGCCCAGTTTTCCACAACTCCAGCACCCTGATTGCCTTCCGTCTCCTCGCTGGGTGGCGGACGATCGGTACTTCCGGTATGTCTTGGTGCTATCTTCATGAGGTCTAACGGCTATCTGTACCGCTTGCAGCTCTAGTGCTTGTCGGAGGGCCTCGTTTACCTTCTTCTCACCTCCTAGCAGCAGCTGGATCTTTATATCGGCATCTCGTATTCTGTATACGAAGGCCGTTGCTGCCTCTCTTCCTACGT